CACACACACACACACACACATTTATTCAACAGATAGGTGTCACGCCCCCGTGTGCAAACATGTCACAGTCACTGGGGCACAGCAGTGAACAAAATGAAGGCCCTGCCTCATGGAGCTCGGACTCTCCCTAGAGGAGCCTAACTAAGGTGATGGCTTCCTGTGTGAGCCCAGGGCCCTCCCTGCAGGACCTGCTCCCTGTGCCCAGCCCATCCCACAGCTTCGGGCAGGGGAACGCCCAGCAGGGGCAGTGCTGGCACTCCTGTCTCCCCGCCTCCTTGGGCACCAGGAAGGATGGAGATGCAGTCCAGGCGCACACAGAAATGCCGAGCTCACCCCTGTGAGCGAAGGAGAGGGCCATCGTGTCTGCGAGGATGCTCCTGGCAGAGACAGCGGGCAGAGGGCCCTCCTTCCCCCCGGGGAAGCCTGTGGGAAGCAGGCAAGTTCTGTGGGTGAGCACACCTGGGAGACACTCTGTGCTGTACAGGAAGGCACCTGGGGCTGCACGTCAGCTCGCCACCTCCTCTGGCTGTGTAACAGAGAGGCGGAGGGGAAGGCTTTCTCGGGGTGCCGGTGGCAGCAGGGGTTTTAACTGCCCACATGGGCTCCCTGAGACAATACTATGGACACCTTAGGGACCAGATGTCCTGCAAGGCTGTGGGGCAGGGCTGAGGACGGCGGGGCCAGGTGGCTGGAGGCGTCTCCAGGCCCAGGCCCAGGGCTCACCCGCTTTGGTGCTCTGTAGCCATCCGTGCAGGCCCAGGACCCAAATGCCCGACTGGCCTGAGGGTGCCACAGTCCCTGGCAGAGGCCACTGGGGCTTTGCCTGACGTGAGCAGCAGAGGCAGCAGGGGAGCAGGGCAGTGTGGAAGGTTAGGGGTTGGTGTGCTAACAGCCTGCAGCCCTGGCCATTTCTTTCTTTTTTTTTTTTAATCTTTAAATTCTTTATTAGTTAAGGAATTACAAATGTGTCCTCACCGGAGGATATGTTTTTTTTTTTTTTATTGATTTGAGAGAGAGAGGAAGGGAGAAAGGAAGAGAAAGATGGATGTGAGAGAGAAACATCCATCAGTTACCTCCTATCTGTGCCCCAACTGGAAATCAAACCCACAACCTAGGTATGTGCCCTGACTGGGAATCGAACCCATGACCTGTTTGGTGTACAGGATGATGCTCCAACCAACTGAGCCCCTCAGTCAGGGCAGCTGTGGCCATTTCTGCCTGGTGCCCCCTCTCTGCCCTACTGCCCACCCATGGTTAGGCCTGCAGGCGCTGAAGCCGTGAGAGCTGAGTTCCAGGCCTAGTAGAGAAAGCGGGGCTGGGACGAGATGGCAGGCAAAGAAGAAGGGGTAGCCACTCTGCCCTACTGCCCACCCATGGTTAGGCCTGCAGGCACTGAAGCCGTGAGAGCTGAGTTCCAGGCCTCGTAGAGAAAGCGGGGCTGGGACAGAGCTCAAGAAAAGGAGCTGCTCCAGCCTCCGCACCCTCTTGGGCAGCACAGCCCCTCATTCCCCGGGGCAAATAACGGGATGAGGCTGTCCCCCTTCTCCATTGCATGGGGACAGAGGCTGAGGTCCGAAACGGGCCTTGTCCCGGGCCCACAGCCATGGAGGAACTGGGAATCGGGCTGTCAATTATTTTTTAACTTGTGTTTTCAAAAATTAATCTCGTGACTGGCGAGACGGCAGGCAAAGAAGAAGGGCCAGCCGGAGGAGAGACAGCTGTCTCCTACAGCTCCGGGCAAAGGGGGACATCCTGGGAACCCCCTGGATACTGACAGGGGTCCCCACCTCCCGCCTCGCTCAGGGCTGCTCCTGAGCTCCCAGGGGCTTGGCTCAGCTCCTGTGGGGCCTCCCTGCTCCTCCTCAGGAGGAAGAAAGCACGTCCCTGCTCCGCTCTAGTGATGGGTCCCGGGGAATCTCCTGCTTCTTCCCGGACTCGGCCTCTGGGCTCCCAGCTCAGGTCTCCAGAGAGGGCGCTCTTGGGCGGTCCATCTTCATAGGAACTGGGAGCCTGGGTGGGGGCAGGAGCGCGGCGGAGGGGAGACCTGTCACCTGACAGGATTCCTCGGAGCGTTGGGGCTCGGGGGGTGGAATGAGCCTCAGTGTCATGTGCCAGCGCCGCCCCACGCGTGTCTCAGATTGGTCCTCCCACCGGAGCAGCTGGTGTCCCCGCGTTCACTCGAGGAAATGGAAGGGCAGAGCTGGTGGAGCGAGCACCCCGTCAGGGGACGCATCCAAGCCCCGCGCGGGGCCAGCGCCTCCGTGGCTCTGTAGTGGACAGCGAGAAGGCGAGGTCAGGTGAGGGAGGGAGAGGGGAGGTGCTCGGGAAAGGAAAGGGGTGCAGGGCGCTCTGAGAGCGGGGTCCCACCCACACCACCGCTCCCTTCCCACAGCGCCCTTGCCGGGCACATGCGGCGCGCCCAGCACCGATCCGATCCCCGTGCATTT